TGGGGAGAGTGTCTCTGACCTGATTTATTTTTTTTTGAAATAAATATTTATTTATTTTCGAGCATGCACAAAGCTCCAGGTTCAAACCCATGGTGATGCATGACTGTGACTCTAGCACTCAGAGGGTGGAGGCAGAAAGATCAGAAGTTCAAGGTCATCCTCAGCTACAAACTGAAGTCAAGGCCAGCTTGGAACATGAAGTTCAGATCAAGTTTCCAGCTAATAAAAATAAATAAATTAGCTATAGGTGGGCATAGGAATGCAAGACTGTAAACTCTGCTCCTTAGGAAGCTAAGGCAGATGGAATGACAAGTTTCAGGCCTGTTTAAGCAGCTTGGTGAGACACTCTTTTTATTTTCTTTCTCTCTTTTTTAAAGAGTTATTTATTTATTATGCATATAATGCTCTGTCCACATGTGTGTGTGCATGCCAGAAGAGGACACCAGACCTCATTACAGATGATTGTGAGACACCATGTGGTTGCTGGGAGTTGAACTCAGGACCTCTGGAAGAGGAGCCAGCACTCTTAACCTCTGTGCCATTTCTCTAGCGTTTTTGTTTTTCTTTTCTTTTTAAAGTAAAGCCAGAGGATCTGCAGAATCCTTCTGTAGCATCATGCACGAGACTCTAGGTCCAATCTAAGTACCATGCAGACAAAATTAGTTATAACTTGAAGCCACTGGTTTTCTTCAGATTTTAGTGGTTAGGCCATTCCCAGAGTGTCAGCAACTCACCTGTTCCATCAGGTCAGATTCGTCTGCCAAACCCAAATATTACTGAAGTGATCTGAACTGATTCTGAATGAATCATCCCGTATCCACCCTTTCTGACTCCAACCAGATCAGGGACAAAGACTGACAAGAAAGAGTTTGCATTTGTCCAGTGTCTTCCCTCAGAGAAAGGAGGAGGAAATAGCAGTGGCTGCCATGATGCTGAGGCCCTGGGATGTGACAGTCACTTCCTATGAGGTTTCCTGTTTTCTTTCCCCAGGCCTCAAGTGCCTAATGCCATTCTCCCCACGGAGCCCCTCAGACAGCAGTTAAGGTGCTGTCTGCTGCTTTCTTCCGGTATCCCTGTGGTCCATTTACCAGGGAGTCATGGCTGAAGAATTTGGAGTAAATATGACAGCTGTGGAATCTTGCAAGTGAGTCATCTGCCCCTCTGAGCTTGAGTAGAGAGAAACAGAGCCACCTGGCTGGCCTCAAACCTGTGATCCTCCTACCTCAGCCTCCTGAGTGCTAGGATCATAGGCATGTGCCATCACACCCCTCTGTCATTGTGCCATGTCCATGCCATGCTGTGCCGTGGCCCTCCCCTTCCCCCAAAGACCCACGAAGTAGGCAGGGTCAGGAGTAGAGCTTCTATTTTGCATAGGAGAAACCTGAGTGAGGATCCCATTCCCACCCCCTGCATCTCCCAGCTCTGCCCTTCCCTTCTCTTTCCTTCCCTTCCCTTCCCTTCCCTTCCCTTCCCTTCCAAGATGCCCCATTTTCACAACTCCCCGAGGTAGGTGGCCCTCCCACCATTCTGTGGAGGCAGCCCTATTCGTGACTCAGAAGAACTGTGAGGTCAGTGCTGGGAGTGGCCATTCTCCCAGGTGCCGCCATCTTTGCACATCTCAGGTTAGCTGCGTGTGTGAGTGCATGCAAGGGGTGATGATCAGTGGCTGGGTGCTGTCATCACATCTGCTTCCAGGGGCACGGACCACCTAACTCTGTCTGGACCTGTGAGGAACAAAGAGATGTAGGGAGAAGTGGAGCATTCTCGGGGGCTTAGCTGGTGACTTCTTGTAGTGATGCCCTGCACCCTCAAACTGTGGGCCGAATCAATCATGCCTTAGGTTGCTTTTGCCATAAAAAAGAGAAAAGTAGTTACCTTTTCTCTTACAACCTTACCCACCTGCTGGCCTACAGTTTCTTTTCTTTCCCTGCCATTGAAATACCCAGGAATAAGAGGGACACATTATGGCCATCATGACTAGCTGGTGTACTGTGGCTGGGGGCCAAGGGACACACTGGACGTGGATTCAAGTTGCCTGGGCTCCTTAAGGATCTGGCAGCCAAGGTTAATTCCCCTGAGATGTGCAGGACAGTGGGACAAGGAAAGGGCCAGAGGTCTAAGAGGCAGGCCAGGCCAGATGGTTGTGGCGTGGCCTTGACAGCTGGAAACCAAAAATTCCCAGTCTTCAGGTTGTCCCTGATGGAACCCCACCTTTACATGTATGGCTTATCATGTATGGCAGGTTTTTTTTTTATCTCCATATTGCATGTCCCAAGCTGTATATATTGGGGTCAAAGAAAAAGTGCGTGTGCATTGGGGTGTACAAGGAAGCCTGTTTCTTCTGCTTTTTTTTTTAGGGAGTCACATGGCCATGGAGCTTTTCTCCTTACCATGATAACCACAGCCACACAGACTTGTTTCCTGTTTCCCAGTGCTTGCTTGGGGCCCCACCTCTGACTGGTATTGGAACACCCAGAGGCTCAACACCATCCCATGGATCCTTGGAGATATGCAAAGAAAGGATTGCTTTACCCCAGAGCGAGATGGGTGGGAGATCAACGCATCCCAAAAAGAGAGAGAGAGAGAGAGAGAGAGAGAGAGAGAGAGAGAACAGATAGACCTCCAGAAGAATTCTGTCAAATCCAGCCTGGTGAACCAATGAATTTAATGGGTTACTTATGGGTGACTAAAAGACTTGAGACCATGGGGAAGTTCCCCTGGGTGACTTACAGGCAACTGCACCACTGAGGAGTCCACCCAGACAGAGCACAGATAACACACACACACACACACACACACACACACAAAAAAAAAAAAAAAAAAAACAAAAAAACAAAAAAACAGCGCCCCTGAAGAGGCCCTGGACAACTGACGAAAGTTAAAACGGCCACTCCAGGAAGAAACCCAGAGAACTATATCCCTCTTGTACAACTGGGGAGGAAGGATAGGATGAAAGCTCGTTAGCCTGCCCATCCCTCTGTGAAGAAATGCTGGTTGACCTTATCTCCTGATGATCTTGGCAGGTTGGTCACAGCCACACTAATTCAAGATGGCAGCCACACTAGGCCTGGAGAAACAACACAGGAACACCTCCACCCATCTTTTCTGGGGGAAATCCAAGGTACAGGAGTCAGTGGCCTCAGGTCATCACCTCAGCACCCTTTTGCAATGGCATCCACCTTGAATCTGCTCTGAGAAGAAGCTCTGGACTAGATGAGAGGATTTCCCATATCCAGCTTGAAATGTTTTTTTGTTTTTTTTTTTTTTAATTATTAAAAGTATTGTGGTGGTTTGAATGAGAATGGCACCCATAGGCTCATAGACTTGGTCACCAGGGAGTGGCACTATTTGGAAGGATTAGGAGGTGTGGCCTTATTAGAGGAAGTATGTCATTGGGGGTGGGCTTCGGAGTTTTAAAAGCCCAAGCCAGTCCCAGTGTCCCTCTCTTCCTGCCGCCTGCTGATCTGGTTGTAGAGCTCTCAGCTACCTCTCCAGCACCGTGTCTGCCTGCAGGCCACTGTGCTCCCTGCCATGATGACAATGGGCAAAACCTCTGAAACTGTAAGCCAGCCCCATTTCAATGATTTCCTTTATAAGAGTTGCTGTGGCCATGGTGTCTCTTCACAGCACTAGAACACTGACCAAGACAAGTATCTGGAACACAAAGTTTAGTTAACCTACACTGTCGTGATCATTGTCACAGGGTGGTGTGTCTTTGGTTGAGACCAAGTCTCTCCAGACTTCTGGGCTCTAGCAACTCTCCTGGCTCAGCCCTCAGAGTAGTTGGATGATGGGGTGTGCCACTCACTGTACTTGGCCATCAGAGAAATTCCCTCAAGGACCGCCAGGCTCTGTCTTCCACCCTTCAAGCAAGGTAACAAGCAAGTGTCTTCAAAAGTGTCTTCACAGGGCCATTTGTAGTAGGAAGGAGGAGAGCATGAGATGCTCAGAAGGATCTGGAAGGAGGGCACTCTAAGGACCTCATCATTGGCACAGGGCTGCCTATGGGTTTAATAACTACTAATATATATATATGTAATATATGTATTATATAATTAACAAATAATACATATTACTAATACATATATAATACATATTATATATTAGTATATAATAATACATATATAGTTTATAAATACATATACAGTACATATATAATTAGTATATAATATGTATTATATATACATATTATATAATATATATTAGTAGCTAGTTAATGTAGTATAATATACTAGCTAGTATATTATATATTATATTAATTATATACTATATTAATATATACTATTAATATGGTACAATAACTAGCTATCAGGTGGCCTGTTTTACACTAAGGTCAGAATGTCATGGGCTTTTGTGCCATTTTGTATGAACCGGAAAGGGTTCACAGGAGATCTATGTGTACATGTATGGTGTCTCAGTGACAGATAGACGGGATAGACGGGACCTGCCGGTTGTCTGGGTCCCTGCTTCAGGTTCAGTGGGACTACACAAGAAATAAAGTCACAGCCTGGAGAGCCCCTGGCCAAATGGAAGACACATTTCTAACACCAGGCACACTTTAGGAACTTTTTGGGGTTCAGGTTAGAGCTGGGGTTCATGGGAGCAAAGCTCCATGGAAGGTCTCACGGTAGGCACCACCCAGGCAGAGGCAGCAGGCCAGAAAGCTCTCCCCCTCCACACACACACAAAGCTGCCATCCTTGCCCACAAGGAAGTGAGGAGTGACGGGACGCCAATCAGAAAGAACTCGGGCCCTGTGCGCTGAGCCAGACCCAAGCAGGGGCCAGCAGGCCTGAGAGCCACAGGTCTCACCCTGGCAGTCATGAGGGCTGCGCCTCATCCAGGCTTCCTCCGCTGGCCTCTGCTCCTCCAGATTCTTTCACTTTCTCAGTAGCTCCAGGAACAGAAGTAAGAAAAGACACAAAGAAAAGCAGAAGTGGGGGCCTCGGAGCCTGAGCTCCCTCCCCCCACCCCCACGGGGCTGAACCGTGGAGCTGACAGTGGCCTGGCTGCTGGTGACCCACGTGTGGGAGAAATGACCCAACTGGTCTCAGCTGTGTTGCTGCCCACGCTGTTGCTGCTGCTTTTCCAGCTTCCAGGTGAGGAGGCTGTCTGCCCAGGAGGGCGGGGAGGCCTCGGGAGATGCCTTGTGAGGCTCTGGGACCGGGATTCCTCTGTGCACAACACGGAAGGTGGCAGCTGGTCGTCCGTGTTAGGTGGATGACCAAAGGTCCGCATTGTGTGTGTGTGGCGGGGGTGGGGCGAGGGACCAGGATCTGCTACTACATTCAGGACATTTGTCCCATGTCAGGACAAGGGACAAATCACACAGTGAAGGCTGGTGGCTGCCCAGGAGGGGTGCTGAGAGGGATTTTGGATGGGTTAGAATAGGACGAAGGAGGGCAGGTCTGGTGGTACCAGTGTGAGGGCCGTGCTGAGACCCTGAGAGGCATGTATTGGTGGGGAAGGATGTGAGTTCTTTCTCCTTCTATTTTCAGTTTTTCAAGACAGTGTCTCTGTGTAGCTCTGGCTGTCCTGGAACTGGATCTGTAGATTAGGCTGGCTTCAGTCTCAGAGATTTGACTGCCTCTGCCTCCCATGCGCTGGGATTAAAAGTGCACCATCACTTGGTTTAGTATTTGCATTTTTAAAATAACCACTGAATCGATTAGCCCCGCCTCTGTGCACAAGGGTATGGGGTCATCCACGGGGCAAAGCAAACTACCAATGACTATACCCACAAAGGGTAAAAAGAATCTCTAATCCCAGCAGGCTGGAGGCAGAGGCAGGCAGATCTCTGTGTCTTTAAGGCCAGCTTGTTCTACAGAGTGAGTTTCAGGACAGCCAGGGTTACATAGGAAAAAAAAAAAGTCTCAAAAAGGAACAACAACAAAACCTTTTCTTCATCTATATTGTCCATTTGTATTTAAAAAAAAAAAAAAAAAAGCCCTGGTTTTATCTGGGTCTACACACTTATTTACAGATGTTTAAAAATTATCTTGGTTATTTTTTATATATTTGGATCTTCTTCTTCCTCTTCCTCCTCCTCCCCACTCCCCTGCCCTTTGGGATTTAAGGAGATTTGAAAGTGCCATGCTAAGGGCAGAGGTGGAAAGTCGGGAAGCCAGCCATCTACTCGGAGGCGGGGGGGGGGCAGAGGGGGTGCTACAGGGGGTGCTGCAGGGGGAAGCATCCTTGCAGGCCAGGAAGGGCCCAGGAGGCTGGGAACTGGTGTTTACTTTGTGGAGAGAGTGAGCCCCGGAGCCTGGACCAGCACCCACTAGAAAAATGGATTTGGTGTGCATGCGTAAGCCCAGAGCTGGGGGTTCAGAGACAAGAGCCGCTTGATGCCTCCTTCTAGTCTCTGCAGGCACGGTACTCCTGTGCAATACTTGCACACAAACACGTATACATATAATTACAAATAAAAGGAAAGTCACCGAGAGACGGCTCAGTGTTGAGTGCACTCACTGCTCTTTCAGAGGACCTGGTTTGGTTTTCAGAGCTCACATAGTGGTTCACAACCACCCATACCTCTGATTTCAGGGCATCTCACACCTGGCCTCCAGGGGCTCCTGCAAGCATGTGTGTGGTGCATATAAACACACAGGTACACACAAACACACAAATACAATAAATAAGCCTTAAAACAAAAACCTTAAGCTGGGCATGGTGGTGCACACCTTTAATCCAGCACCTCAGAGGCAGAGGAGGCAGATCTCTGAGTTTGAGGCCAGCCTGGTCTACAAAGCTGTCCTGTCGAGTGCAGGACAGCCAGGGCTCTTGTCACATAAAGAAACCCTGTCTCAAAAATAAAAAAAAGGAAGCTGGGTACAGTGGTGCACGCCTGTAATCCCAGCACTCAGGGAGGCAGAGGCAGGCAGATCTCTGTGATTTTGAGGCCAGCCTGGTCTACAAAGCAAGTCCAGGACAGTCAGGCTAAACAGAGAAACCCTGTCTTGGAAAACCAAAACCAACCAACTAACCAACCAAACAAACAAACAAACAAAAACCCAAACCTTAAAAAAATAGAACCTTAAAATCACGGAGGTAAACCTAGGTTGAGAGAGCAAACCCTCACATTTTCCTGCCCTTCCCCTGACTTCTCTTTCTGGTCACAGGGTCATGAGGGCATTGAGGGAAGTGGGGATACAGTTGGTCGCCCTCTTCGGCCCTGGCTCATATTCCTGGGTTGGGACCACATGGAGGTGGTGGTGATGGTTATTCTCCAAGGTCCTGAGATGCCCAGAGCTGGCGTGTTTGAAAACATGAGGCCCTGGTGGGTGGGAGGGACAGAGAGGATTAAGGTTGAAGGAAGGAGCAGGGCAGAAGGAAAGCTTGCTGAGGGGTGATTGGCTGATGGGAGGAGAAAATTTTGGAGGACCTACTCCCCATCTAGCTGTGAAGGTACAGAACTGAGGTTTGTGTTTTCCAGGCTGTGTCCCTCTGCGTGGCCCCAGCACCGTGACAGGCACTGTGGGGGAGTCCCTGAGTGTGCAGTGTCAGTATGAGGAGAAATACAAGACTAATAACAAATACTGGTGCAGAGGGTCACGTGTGCTACTATGTAAAGAGATTGTCAAGACCAGAGGCTCAGAAGAAGCTAGGAACGGCCAAGTGTCCATCAGAGACCATCCAGACAACCTCACCTTCACAGTGACCTTGGAGAACCTCACCCTGGAGGATGCAGGCACCTACATGTGTGGGGTGGATGTACTATTTATCGATGACTCCTTCATGGTTGTGTTGTCCGTGGTGGTCCCAAGTGAGGTCCCAGGTAAGTCCCTCTTGTGAGCACTATAGACCAGGACAGCTGCAAGTGGCAAGAATTTTCAGTCAGGAATCAGCTCAGGGCCTGGGAGTACATTGTGTGTGGTGAGGGACAACAGGGACAGGGCAGCAGTCAGGGATGCATCCTGGAGTAGCTGCATCTTGTGGGGAGGAAGGTGCTGGTCCTTCAGGGGACAGGAGGTAGAGAGGGCAGGGTATGGTCAGGACAGAGTTCTGTATCCTGTGGGGTGGTCCATGAAAACCAGAGTTCCTGGGTGTGTTGGGGGCTGAGCGGAGGGTCAGCAGGGGACTGTTGAAAGGGAGCTTTCACTAGAGACAAGGAGGCAGCTTTGCAGTTAGCTGTCTCTGCAGCATGTGGCTGAGGCTGGAGGAGAGCAGACCTGGTGTGTGGTTTTGACTCAGGGGGTTTCGGGGTGACAGCTATGTCATGTATGCCAATGATCAGCTGATTTAGTAGGATCCTCCATCCCAATCCTTTGGTGTGAAATCAGCTCAAAAAACAACCCATTGGCAGCTGTTGAGGGTGGTGTATGCCCGTGATCTTAGCTCTCAGGAGGCAGAGGCAGGAGGATCACAAGCTCAGGACAGCCAAGGCTATAAGCTTCATACACACTCTGTTTCAGAAAGTAAAGAGAAAGAAAGAAAGAAAGAAAGAAAGAAAGAAAGAAAGAAAGAAAGAAAGAAAGAAAGGAAGGAAGGAAGGAAGGAAGGAAGGAAGGAAGGAAGGAAGGAGAAGGAGTGGGGAAGGAAGGAAGGAAAAAAGGAAGGAAGAAAAGAAAAAGGGAAGGAAGAAAAAAAGGAAGGAAGGAAAGATGCCACTGGACAGTGGCAGAATCTGAGGAGATTAACTAGCTTTGATCTGTAGTTTCATCTTCAGGGACAGATGTGGTGTCCACCAGCCTGGCCACCAAGGGTTCCATCCAAGGATTCATCATAGTGCCCACCAGCCTGGCCACCAAGGGTTCCACCCAAGGATCCATCACAGAGGGCCACCATGACCAGCGCCCGGGCTTGAGGTAAGGTGCCCTGGTTCCTGACCTGGAGGTGGCTACCCCAGCCATGTTGTCCCCTTAGGAGACGGGCTACCAGAAGCCTGAGAGCTTGGGGTAAGGCACTTTGGTTTCTGAATTGAAGGTGGACTTTCCCCTCAGAGGGGCCTAAGCAGGCATCTTGGCTATGTGCTGATGTCATACCCCGCTGGCTAGGACCTCTTGTGCCCTTGGCTCCAGTCCAGGTAGGATGTCATAGGTCACTGACCACACTGAGCCTGCCTATGCTGAAGACAGGTGGTGTTCAGCTGAGGAGGACCCAGGGTGTGGTGGAAGGAGAGCAGAATGAAAAGGGCCAGTGACATTCTGTCAGGCGCCTGGCTCAGCACTTCACAGAATGCTCCTCTTCTACCTCGTGACGGTCTTCAAGTTACCACAGGTCTTAATTTTCTATGGCTTGATAAAAAAAAACAAAACAAAACAAACAAAAACAACAACAACAAAATGCCATGACCAAAGCAACTTATAATAGAAAGTGCTTATTTGGGGTTCACAGTCTCAGAGAGTTAGAATCTATGACCACAGTAATGGGAACAGGGCAGCAGGCGGCAGGCAGGCCTGGTTCTGGAGCTGTGGCTGAGAACTTACATCGTGAGACACAACCACAAGACAGAGAGAGCTAACCGGGAATGTTGTGGGCTTTTGAAACTTCAAAACACCCCCCACCCCACCCAGCCAAGTGACACACCTCCTCCATCATGGCCACGCCTCCTAATCCTTTCCAAATAGTTCTACCAACTGGGGACCAAATGTTCAAACAGATGAGCCTGTGGGGGCCATTCTCATCCAAATTATCATACCATATTATTATTATTATATTTTTTTTAGATGAGTAAACTGAAGCTCAGAGGGCTAAGCAAGCTACCTAGTCATACGGCTGTTACAGAAGATGCAGGGCAGGGCCCAGGCTACATGACTCCAAACTCTTGGGTTCCCCCTTCTAGATACTGAGGAGTCTGAAAATGCCTACAGACTCTCCCAAGAAAACTGCATGTGGTCAGCAACCATTTCCAGGGTTCAGACTCTCCCTCTGACCTCCCCGGGCACTGCAAACAGCTCCTGGAACTGACTGGAGTTAGTACAGATCCTGTAGGTTAAGGGCTCTGGTCACCTGTACTCCTAACTTTTAGCTGTAAATGATGAGGCTCCCATGACTCCCTTGTGTTCGGGAACTCACTAGGGTCATCACCAACGGAAATGGTTTCATCATAAAAGATAAAACAAAACAAAACAGAAAACACGAGGAGATAAAGGAAGACACAGTGAGGTGAGACCGGAAGACTCCCAAGCGGTGTCATGGTACCCTCCATCTCAAGCAGGGTCAGCGTGCACCATCCTGCCAGGGGCCTCTGCGAGTCCACCAAGAGCTCCTCCCATCTCCTTTCCAGGGCTTGTACTGGGGACTCCACAGGCTGAAAGGCTGGCATGGGGATGATCTCCAGCCCGCCCCTCTCCAGAGGCTGGGCTGCTTAGAGTCCCGTCACATCTCTGACCCTACACTGGTTCCTGGTGAGCAGCCTCATTCTGTCGTCTCACCTCTTAGCTATGTGCAGGCTCAGCGTTGTTATCTGTAAAGTTTGCACCCAAGAGCCATGCAGTCCAGTCACAAAATTATCAGCAAGACAAAACAATGCAAAAACCCAACCACTCCAGGGACCTCAGCACATGTTAAGTAAATTTATATTTTGGCGTTAGGCCAAATGCATGAGGGCCAGAGACTGGGGCCTGGACACTCCTATAGGTAACACTCCAATGTCATTCACAAACAACAAAGGTGCTCCTGTCGGCACATTCCCCAGCACTAGGCAGGGGTGTCCGACCTCTGGACATTGTGACATCTTGTCAGAATCTACAGATGTGTTGGCCATATTGAAAGCTCTCCCGGGACACATGTGGCCTCTCTCCCAGAATCCGGGGAACAAGGCCTGTCCTCTCTTCACTATCCCACCCCTGGAAATCTTCCCACAAGCCTTCTGACAACCTAGGGCAACAGTGGCTGCCAGACAAGAGAAAATGCTGGCTCCAGGCAGGCTGCTTTCGGAGGCTCACCTGAAGACCTTCACAGCAGGAACAGCCCTGCTTTGTTGGGGCTGAAAGCTTGTGTGTGTGTGTGTGTGTGTGTGTGTGTGTGTGTGTGTGTGTGTGTATCTGTGTATTTGTCTGTGTGTTTATTTGCATCTGTGAGTATCTGTATGTGTGTGTGTATGTGTGAGGTGGGATTTAGATAAAGAAGCCATCATAGTGCTGACCTTTATCCTTTATTCATTTATTTATTTGAGACAAGTTCTCACTACATAGCCTTGGGTAGCCTGGAGCACACTGTGAGACCAGGCTGGCCTTGAAATCACAAAGGTGCACCTACCTCTGCTTCCTGAGCACTGGGATTAAAGTTGTGGATCAGCACTCCCAGCTTCATAAAATTATAAAGGTTATTATTGTGTGTGAGCATATATGTGTGCATAACTTTCAGGAGTCAGTTCTCTTCTAGTATGGGTTCTGGGTTTTGAACCCATGACCTCAGGCTTGCACGGCAAGCTCTTTTATCCACTGAGTCATTGCACGGATTTCTTTTTGAAAACATTTGACTTTATGTATTTTGAAAGTCAGGGTCTGGCAATATACCCAGGGGCTGTGTAGAGCATTTGTCTGTTGTGCATGAGGCCCTGGGTTCGATTCCCAGCGCTGAACAAATGACTCCCTCTCCCTAAAGCCTCCCAGTGCTGCTGTCTGTGTTAGCTCTTCTGCTGCTTCTGTTGGTGGGGACCTCTGTGCTGGCCTGGAGGACGTTCCAGAAGCGGCTGGTCAAAGGTAAGTTAATTCCCTGTGTCCTGTCCTTGCTCGAGGGTAGGAGAATCCTGGCCACGGCCTTCCACCTTCAGAGCTCTGTCCGGGTTCACAGAACAGCCACCACATTAAGCACACACCCTCAGGGCCCACAAGACTGGTGTCCCTAGTGGGCGTGGCAACGGAGGTGTCCCAGGGTGTAGAGGTTACAGACCTCCAGAGATAGCTCCCTAGAGGCCTTTCTCCTGGGCCCTGAGCGGCTGCTCCTTGAGACCTTTTAAAACCTCCAATTCTCTCAAGAGACTGTCCCTGCAGGGCTGTTAGGCCTCCACAGTGTGCCCAGCCCCTGCTTCCTGTGGCTTTGGTCAGTTGGGCAGAACCTCAGTCTCCCCACCCCCTACTCTCCTTTCCCCTACCCTCCACCCTCCTGATCTGCAGCCCCCACATGGCCGACACTAACCACATGGGACTTTCCCAGCCTGACAACCTCCGTTCTGTGAGTCCTAGTCTACTTCTTGGATGCCCTTTCACCTAGAGACACTGTGGCCCCCCAAAATAGATATAAGAAAGCTGGGTGTGGGGGCGCACGCCTATAATCCCAGCACTCTGGGAGGCAGAGACAGGTGGATCTCTGTGAGTTCGAGGCCAGCCTGGTCTACAAAGTGAGTCCAGGACAGCCAAGGCTTCACAGAGAAACCCTGCCTGCCTCAGGGAAAATAAGTAAGCAATTAAGTAAGTAAGTAAGTAAGTAAGTAAGTAAGTAAGTAAGTAAGTAAGTAAGTAAGTAAATAAATAAATAAATAAATAAATAAATAAATAAATAGATAAATAAATAAATAACGAAAGAAAGAAAGAAAAAGACGTGGTGTGTTGGTTCATGTAATCCCAGTGCTTGGGAAGGCAACATGACTACAGAGCTGCAGAGCGTTCAAGGTCACACAGGACTACGTAGGACAGACTCTGTCTCCAAGAACAAAACAGGCCAGGTGGCAGCGGGGCACACCTTTAATCCCAGCAGTCAGGAGGCAGAGGCAGGTGGATCTACACAGTGAGTTCCAGGACTGTTACACCCAGAAAATCAGCCACTGTACTAGAGGCATGCAAATTCCTTCCAGTCTTTTACTATGCCTATGTGATTTCTTTAAATTCTTTTTCCATGTTTGAATTATGTGTATATGTGTGTTGGGGGGGGTGTTGTATGTGTGTGTATGTGTTTGTGGGGAGCCCTTAGAGGTCAGAAGTGAACGTCAGATCCCGTGGAGATGAACGTACAGGAAGTTGTCAACTGATCAACATGGGTGCTAGGAACCAAACCCAGCCAGTGCTCTTAGCCACTGAGCCATTTCTCCAGCCCTACCTGTGATTTCCTAAAGCTCTTGCTTTATAACCAGCAAGGTGACTCATCCCTGTACTCTCAGCATGTGGTAGGCTGAGGCAGGAGGATTAGGAAAGTCTAAGAGCAGCCTGGGCAACATAGCAAGACCCTGTCTCAAAAACAAAACAAAACAAGAAAACAAAAATTTCATCCCATTTAAATCTGCACTTTTGCCCTTAGCACATTATAGCATTTCCACTGCTGTTGAATGTTTTAGAAATCCCAGGCCTATGGCTGAAGTCTCCAGGGAAAGCCTTTCTCAGACAGAGTGAAGCATGCCCTTCCTCCCCTGTCTACTTTTCACCTCCTCCTTCTCTTTCTGTCCCTAGCTAATACAAATCCAGAGCTGTCCCAGAACCTCAGGCAGGTAAGGGAGCTATGGCAGGAGGTGAGCCAGGATGCCTGGGTGGGCAAGAGGCGGCTGTAGGGGGGTCTCTGGGCTGGTAGAAGGGACGGTCTGCTACAGGTAGATGGAATTTTTCCAGGACAGGAAGAACAGCACCTGGAGAACTAGTCACCAACTCTTGTCCCAGGTTCTGTCCAGTCTGTTCACATCTGGCCATGACAGTGGACTTGGATGAAGGGAGGATCCTAGAGAGAACAGGGAGAGGATGGAGGAAGAATGGGAATGCCATGGCTGATACCCAGAGTGCAGTGGAAGGGAGACATCTTCAGAGAAGGAGGGCCGGGGGTGGGAGGGAAGGACTCCACGGCTGACGCTTCTTGACCTTCCGCAGGCTGCTGAGCAGAGTGAGTGCCAGTATGTGAACCTGCAGCTGCGCACATGGCCCCTGAGGGAAGAGCCGGTGCTGCCGAGTCAGGTGGAGGTGGAATATAGCACAGTGGTAAGTTGGGGAGCCCGGCTCCCTTGGCATGAGGATCCTGGGCCGTGTAAGGGTACCACATAGGGATGAGGATGGGCAGGGGATGAAGTGCTGACCCAGCTATGCAGAAGATGGGGCAGAGGGGACTCAATGAGAGCTGAGGCCATTAGATGAGCCGAGTTCATCGGAGCTAGGAATAAGAAGTACAGGGATCACAGGAGTGGCCGGTATCTGTGGCCTGGACAGTCAATAAATCAAAATGGGCAATTTCTCCTTGTGTCAGTGCCCCCACCTCTTTGGTATCAATTCTGCTTTAGAGGTGTGGTCAAGTGTTAGGCTCCGTTACCTTCAAACAGGAGGACGGGGCAGACAGCCTCCTTGGGTGTGATCCATCATTTCATAGGGAGGACCAAAGAGAAGCTGAGAAGGATCTAAACACCAAAGGCTTTCTGGGGAGTCTCCTTTTCCCACCCCCACCCCCACCCCAAGGCTCAGAGCCCACTGGACTCTTCTTGGGTTCCCTGAAGGGTGCCATAGTTTGGTGGCAGGAGATGGGTGACAGACTGCTCTGGAAAACTGACTCATCTGCCTGCATGTGTCCACTCAGGCCCCATTCAACCCAGGCTGCTGACCCTGCTCCATGGGGTGGGCGGTAGTGAGAGGTTCTAGTCCACAACCTTCCTGGATCACCCAGAACTATGGCTTCCCTTCACTTGGGACAGTGCCTTTTTTTTTTTTTAACAAGTCATTTTTTATTTCATGTGCACTGGTGTTTTGTCTGTCTGTATGTCTGTGTGAGGGTGTCGGATCCCCTGGGACTGAGTTATAGACAGTGTGGGTTGCCATGTGGGTGCTGGGAATTGAACCCAGGTCCTCTGGAAGAGCAGCCGGTGCTCTTAACCACTGAGCTATCTCTCCAGTCCCGTGAAGGTGTCTTTTGAGGATGAGTTGTGTGCAGGGAACCCAGTGTCCTCATTTTCATCAGCTGTCTGTAGCCACTCAGATGGTGCCTAGCCATGTGTCTGAAAGGCCCATTCCTTCATCACCTAACATGTTCTCATGTCTTCTTAGCTCTGGGACCAGCAACAGCCTGGCATCACCTGGTAGCTAATGATTGCAAAATGGGTTGGAAGCTAACTTCCTTTCCACTTTCAACTCGTCAGCCCATGACCAATCATAGCTAGTAAACCTTAGAACTGTTGTGCCATTATGGCTACCTCTGCTGGCCATGATATACCCAGTATGGGAACTGCCCACTGTGGCTTGACCAGGTGGGCCAGTGAGTCCAGTTCTGGGCAGTTGAGGAGGGTATGTGCCCTTTCCCTCTTGGCCTGAGTCTGGGGTCTCTCTCTCTACAGGCATTTCCCCAGGAAGAGCTTCACTATACTTTGGTGGCATTTGATTCGCAGGGGCAGGATTCTCAGGCCAAGGGGAATCCTGCTTCATTGCCTCAGGACCAGAAAGCAGAGTACAGCGAGGTCCGGAAGCCCAGAGAAGGCCCCTCTGTCCCTCACCTGTGACCCCTTGTCACCTGATCCCCTCAGTGGTGACCATCAGGTTCCTAAGCTCCCTGCAGCCTGCTGCTGTCAGTGTCATGAACCTCTCTGGCTTCACTAAAGATCCTCTCCAGCTTCAGTAAAGATGAGCAGGAACCAAGTCTCTGTGGGAACAGAGGCTCGTCCCACCGGCCCTCTCGTTTTGTACTGCCTCGGCATCCCTGTAGCCTCTGCATCCCTGTAGCCTCTGGGAAGTGACATGGTTCATCTGGAACAGCACTTGTGTTAGCTCTGTAGTGTCAGCCCAGCAGGAACCTCTGTGGTCGCTGGGAAAGTGGAGAATCAGTGAAGAGCCATGAGAATACAAAGAGGAGGGTTATGGGGGCACTAAACACCAGCGCCCCCATCTCACAGGGGAAGAAACCGAAGCTCTGAGGACAGGACCCTGGCCCATGGTCAGGGGCAAATTCCTCTGGACTCTTAGGTAAACAAAGTTTGTAATAAAGTTTGTAGTATCTTCTCAAAAGGAGAAGAAATGGTTTCGATGATGTCTGCTACATGCCTGCAGCTCTGAAGTCGGAGGAGCCTTTGGGACACAAGGACATGTGCCTCAACACTGGGTTGGAAAGGGTAAGTTGTAACTGCTGTTCCCGGATGGAATGAATGCTACCAGCCCTCAGCACCCACCAAGGGCTTGAAAACTGTATCTGTCCAAGTGATTTTCTTATAACTCTTAACATTGCACCGGAAGCAACTTCAAGGGTGAGTTGTCTCAAAGGAGTAGGAGATGATGCCTATTTGTGACTTCCTTGGATTTTTTTTTTAAGATAAAATTCTTGCAGGGAAGTGGCACATACTTTTAATTCCAGCACTCGGGGAGGCAGAGGCCAATGGCTCTCGGTGAGTTTGAGCTCTAGGATAGCCAAGGCTATGAAGAGAAACCCTTTCCAAAAAAAAAGGACAGGATTTTTTTTATAGCCCAGGCTAGCCTTGAACTTGCTGTGTAGCTAAGGATGACTGTCTTAGTTAATGTTCTATGGCTGTGAAGAGACACCATGACCATGGCAACTCTTACAGAGGAAAACATTTAATTGGGGCTGGCATATAGTTCAGAGGTTTAGTCCATTATCATCATGGCGGGAAAGGGCATCCTGCCTGAGTTTCTTCCCCAGACTTTATTCTTAGATTTAGAATTCTTTAAAATTCAGCTCATGTACCCCACCCTCCACATGTGAGTGTGCTTGTGGCATGCACACCCATGAGTCATCCCAGGTACACCCCTCACTTCTCGTACCAATGTTCTGAGACACAAAAGGGGAAACACACCTACACATACACAGATGGATGCATGCCTAAAGCCAGGGTCCACAGTGTGGAGAAAGTGTGTGTGTGTGTGTGTTCTGTGTATGTGTGTGCACACAGTAGGGCCTATGGGTACAGCTCACAGAGCCCTAGTATGCTCTCAGCTCTGCCCCAGGCCTCAGCCCCAAGCCTACCAATGGCTCTTTCCACTTGGAAGATCAGTGGGCACTGGATTGTGCAGATGGGACTCAAGAGCCTTAAGGGGGAAATAGGGGTGCTGTGGCCACCCAAAAATAGAGCTCTGGGCCCACAAACAGCCAACTAGAGGGGTGGGTAGGGAAAGGAGAGCCCTGCTTTGTGGTATGAGTCACTCATTGTGGGAAGGCCTAAGGGCCAAGTGCCCAGCCAGGGTACTTTTCTCCTCACATGTCTCTTCCTTCACTTTCTCCTCCCCTGTTTCCTCTCCCTGCTGCCTGGGGGCAGATCAGCCTAAGGGCAGCACTCATTCATTCATTCATGCAGCCGTCGATTCACTCATTTGCCCATACACTCATTCATTAAACCATTCACTCATCCACTCATCCATTTAATCATCCATCTACTCACTTATTCAACTATTCACCCATCCATCCATCCACTTACCTATCTACCCATCTATATCCACATCCCCATTATCCAATCCATCCATCATCTGTCCATTCACATCCATCCATCATCTGTCCATCCATGCATCCATCCATCCATCATCTGTCTATTAACCCATCCATCCATCCATCCATCCATCCATCATCTGTCCATCCACCCATCCATTCATCCATCCATGCATCTACTCAGTATCTCATCCACTCATTGCAGAGCTTATTCAGGGACCTGCTTCATGACAGGCAGAAGGCTGGACACAGGGAAGCAAAGGCCAAGCCATGCCCCACATGGACCTTTGGGTTTACAGGGATGTAGATATGGGAGACATGGGCCTTCTCCACTCACCTCCCTGCTTTAGGACTGTGGACAGGGGAGGGGCACCTCTTCCAATGCATCTTCCGTAAACAATTGTAACAGACAATTCCCCGTTAAAGCACAGAAGCTCCAAAAGACGGAAGCTCCAAATTTATGTTAAAGACTGGCCATCAGGGCTTGGGAGGAGGCTCAGTGGGTAAAAGTGCTTGCCACGCATGTGTGAGGACCTGAGTTTGATCCCCAGAACCCATGTAAAAGCTGGTTGTCTGGTCAGCAGCTGGAAGGCTCAGCGGGTGAAATGCTTACACCATACAAGTCTGACAACCTGAGTTTGGTTCCTAGAGCTCTCGTAAAGATGGAAGGAGAGTACTGTCTTACACACCACGGCACATGGCCCCCCCATCCCACCCCCACAAGTAATCATTTAAATTGTAAAAATAAAAAAGTTGCACATGTACTAAGAGAGCCTGTAATTCCAGCCCTGCCTCAGCAAGACAGGAGGTGGAAACAGGTCCCCGAAGCTTGGAGGCCGGATAGCCTGGTGTGCTGGTATGGACAGCCAAAAGACCGTGTCTCAAACAAGATGGAAGGTGAGGCCTGACACCTGAGATTGTCCTCTGCTCCTCACACGTGTATCTGCGTGCATGCATACAAACACATACAAGTGGCCCTGCTAGCTCAAAAACTGGGGTGATGGATTCCATGTCTTCTTTAGCCTGAGTTTGGAGTAAAGTAGGAGAAAGAGTCAGGTGGGATGGCCTTCATCCAGCAACTCCATGGGAAAGCACTTTCTCCATCAAGAACAGGAAACCGAGTCCAGCCAGTTATGAATCTCAAGAGTGCCACCTGTCGCGTGCTTTTCCTGGGAAGGTGTGAACATCCAGTCACCCCAGATAGGGCTCAGGCCAAAGGAACAATCGCATCCCAGTCTAGAAGAATTTGTCAGTTCAAAATGAAGTCACCCCTGTCAAACCCTAGCAGAATTCAGAAGCCATTGTCTTAGTCTACTTTCTTTTGCTTCTTGACCTTTTGGCTAAGAAAAAGTTTGAAATACTGGAGACTGGGAAACTTATAGGAAAAAGAAGTTTTTTAATTTAGGGCTTTGAAGTCTGCGAGGGCCAAGTTAGGAGGCTGCAATGGGTAAGAGCCTTTTTGCGGACGGAGGCTCTGCAGGGTCTACAGGCAGGATGGGGCTTCAGATAGGGAGAGGGATGCCTAGCGGATGCTGAGTGGCATTTTTAACAGATCCATTCTTTTTTAAATCAATTATATTTGTTCATTTATTTGTGTATGTGGGTGTATATGTGTGTGTGCTCACATTCCAAGGTGTTTCAAGGTGTGCAAGTGGAGATCTAAGGACAGTTTGGTAGAAGTCAGTTCTCTCCTTCCTTCAGGGATTGAACTTGTGCTGTTAGCTTGACAGCAAGCGCCCTGAGCCATTGAGCATCTCACCAACACAACAGACTTTTTTTTTTTTTAAATAAAATGAGACAGGGTTTCTCTGTGTAGCCTTCACTCTAGTAGAACTTGCTCTGTAGACAAGGCTGGCCTCAAACTCGGAGATCTACCGGCTCCTGCTTCCTGAATGGATTAAAGGCATGTGAAGACATGTCTCCCAACATACCTGTTCTTGAGATGACCCATTTTCCCAGTAATCTATGTCCTAATCTCCACCCTCTGTCTTTAAAAAGTCCTGATAAAGTATTGATAGTGTAGCAGAAGCCAGGGGCCTCGAACCAGACCAAGGACTCATTAAAACAAACGTTTGCAGATGAAGAAGTGTGGACAAAAGGGTATATTGTGAGAGAGACACTGTGACACACTACAGCTTCCACAATGAGAGTTGTCTTCTTTTTCTTTTGTGGGGAGGTTTTAAGGGTGGAGGACAGGTACAAAGGGACAGGGAGATGAGTGGGATTGGGGTTGATGATGTGAAATTCACAAAGAATCAATCAAAATAAATAAATAAATAAATAAATAAATAAATAAATAAATAAATAGTAGTTCTGAGAAGCGAAAGAGGAGGAGGAAGAAGAAGAGGGAAAGAAGGAGAAGGAGGAAGAGGAGGAGGAGAAGCAGTAGCACTGGTGACTGAACCCAGGTCCTCAGGGATGCTAACCAGGCATCCTGCCACTCAGCTATGTCCCTACACCTCTCTTTACTATTTTATTTAGAGACTGGCCTTTGCTAAATTGCCCAGGTTGACCTTGAACTCAGTCTGTAACTCAGGCAGGCCTTGAACTTGCTATCCTCCTACCAAAGTTTCCTTAGTAGAGGTATTACAGCCCTAGGCCTAGGACCACCGCACTTTAAGTTCTCACCTGGTCCTACTGCACAACCAGGGTTAAAATCCACCATCTCTCCTGATAGAATCATCCAAGTGAGACATCCACGAAGGGGGATCATCATGTATATTTATTTGATGACAATAACTGTCATGAAGACTCTGCCCAAACCACAGCCTTGCACAGAAGTCATGATGACATTGCACAAAGAACCACAGCCTTGCAGCAAGGCCACCCTTCCATTACATATGTCCAGAAGCCGCCTTCTCAGCCTCATGCTGATTCCACCTTCAACCCTGACCTTTGCGGTGCGGGGTCATTGCTTCATCACAGCTTTTGTAACCTTCCTGACCTTCCTGTTGGACTTCACTTCTACTCTCCTGCCCTCCGGCACCTTGCGCGACCTCTTTCCATATTGCAACTTTGTCACAGTAGCTCTCTTCTCACCATCTCAGTTTAGCTCAACACAGTATCTTCATACCATACTAGAGAGCAGCTCAGAGGGAGGGTGTGCTGGCTAGTTTTACCTCAGCTTGACACAAGCCAGATGGTTTGGGAAGAGGGAGCTTCAGCTGAGAAAATGCTCCCACCCGACTGGGCTGTGGGCAAGCCTGAGTACATTTTCTTCATTGACGATTGATGTAAGGCTCACTGTGGGTGGCGCCATTCCTGGGCCGGTGGTCCTGGGTTCTATAAGGAAGTAGGCTGAGCGAGCCATAAGGGGAACGTCTGTAATCAGCCCTTCTCCACGGCCTCTGCTGTGACTTCCCTTAGTGACGGTTTGTGATGTGGAAGCGGAAGTTGAAATACCGCGCCCCCCCCCCCCCCCAGCTGCTTTTGGTCCTGATGTTTATCACATCAATAGAAACCCTCCAGAGGGGATTTGGCATCTTTCCTCCTAGGCTGCCAGACAGTTGCAGCTGACAGAATAATGAGATGC